CTGACCGGAGCCCACACTGACTTTTTGTTCTTACTTCCTAACAGGTCAGTGTATATAACTTTCAGTGACTTTGAGAGCATAGAGGGACTGCCCGCCTATCGGTATACGGTGCCTGAAGAAATATTAGCCAATACCTCAGACAATGCCGGCTTCTGTATACCTACGGGAAACTGCCTGGGCTCAGGGGTTCTGAATGTCAGCGTTTGCAAGAATGGTAAGAGATGACCTGATAATGAGTGTTTGGAAGGCAGGATGGGTGTTTTTCAGCCCAACAGAAAGAATGACTCTGACCTTTCAACAACAGTGTTTTGTAACATGGCTATTGAATGGTAAAAAAATTATTGGCTCCCCTGTAATGCTTTTTATTGCTAGCATGCCATGGTGTGTTTTTTCTGGGCAGTAGTTTCACAGTCTTAATGGTAACAATAGCTCCTGTTTACTAGGACTTCCTAGTTAGTACCAGTCACTGTTTTAAGGGCTTTACATATTTACATATAGTTAACACATGTAAAGCATTAACTGGTTTCATGTGCAAAACAATGCTGAAAAGAGAAAGTGGGGAACTTGGTAATGAGAGAGTACAGCATCTTGGTAAAGACTCTCAGTGATTTGGAAGCAGAGTGAGTTTTAAACCCTGACTGCACATTTCGCAGTGTTTCTTAAGGTCTGGATTACTCTGCTCCTTTCCATGAATGAGGCGGAATTATCAGGGGTACGGCTAACAAAAGCATGTTCATCTTGAGGACTAGTTTTAACAATCATACGTTGCATAATTGTTCACAGTAGCTTTGCTAGAGAGACATCCAGTGGCCTTTTTTTTTACAGTTGTGGAAACCAGGGATCAGAGAGGCAACATGGTTTTTATAAAATCCTTGTCTCTCAGAAAGTCCCTGCTGAAACCAGGGTCTCCTCATATTCATATAGTGATTCTTCTTAGGTTACAATTCCTCTACAGTTTCTCTTGAGAAACTTTCTAACCCCTTTCTCCTGAATAAAGTTGTCTTTTTCTCCTAAATAAAGTAGGGTGTTAACTTTTGCCCTCTTGCCTAACTGGTTTGAAAATCTCCGTTTGGGATAAACCTGAAGTCAGCAGCATCCGCCCTATCTGTCTGATGGAGCATTGCCTCCGAAACCCTGCCTCGCATCAGGATTACCTGGAGACTCATTAAAAATATTTGCCCCAGGGCCCACACACTAGGGCCCCAGAATGTCTTTTTCACGTGAACCCCCGATAATTCTCATGAAGGTAGTGCTTACGTATTTGGGAAACACTGTGCCAGGGAACACAGCACCCCGTGCCTGGAGATAAGACCAAAGGTAAATTGGAAACAGGTTCCTGCATCTGTCCTCCTGGGTGAATAGTCCTGAAATAGAGCCCTGCCCACCCAGCCCAGGTGCCTCTGGCCCGAGACACAAATGTAGACGTACTTTTCTTGTTTTATGAACATTCTGCTTCCTCAAGAAGTTGACGTCAGAGTCAATAGAAAGATTCTGCTTTGCAATAGTCAAACCTCTTGCTACATTTTTTTCCCCTCCTGCCTCCTTATGTATTCCCAAATGTGGCCTGAAAGGTTAAACTCTCCAGGATTATCCTCAAGTGTTTTGAATTCTCTAGGGGAACATTTTGGGTAGTGGGATGAGTGAGTGTTCTGGAGTCAGGTAGCTCTGGGTTTGAGTCCTATTCTAATTGTTAGCACATTGGCCAAGTTGGTTAAGGAGGGTTCCAGGCATCAGTTTTTTCATCCATAAAATGGGGGTGATTCTAACTTTTCTTGGAAGTTGTGTGAAGGTTGGAGATCGTGGATGTAAAATACTCAGAACAGTGTCTGGCCCTTATTAAACCCTCAATAGATTTTTAAAAAAATACTTTTTAAAGGTGACTGTAGAGTCTTCATGTGGGCAGACCTTGATCTAGTCAGAGGCTGGGCAGATAGCAGGACCAGGCAAAGTCTTAAAAAATCCTGCGTCAACATATGCAGGAGAACAAAGCCTATCTTAGGTAAAACAAAACCAGAAAAGCTAGCACACACACACACCAAAAAAAAAAAAAGCCCATTTACTGGTAGAGAATGATAATTGAAACAAGTGCTTTGAAATGAAACATCCTTTATTCACTTCCAATAGAATTCTGCCTCCATTACCTGATAGCTGGATGTCCCTGTGGCTGACTTTTATAACTTCTCTGAACCTCACTTTCCTCAAATGCAAAATGAAGATAATAGTTCTAACTTAATAGAGCTGTTGGGAACATTAATTAAAAGAATGTGTATAAAGGATTTACATTTTATACATTAAGTAAATGTTTGTTGAAGAATAGGCAATTTAGCCAGGACTTCAATATACAGAGGGTGCCAAAAAAATGTATACACATTTTAAGAAAGGAAGACTTTATTAAAATTGTAATAATCAGTATATGTCGATAATAAAAGATGAATACAAGTCACGTTTGACTTCTGCAATTACAAGAGGTGCTCAAAGTGCTCAAAGTGGTTACCATCAGCATCCAGACACTTCTGATTACGGCAAACTACTGCTTGAGCAACGTTGACCAAAGTGTCCACTTGTATAAATTTTTTTGGCACCCCCAGTATATTGTGAAATAAAATAATGAGCTATCAGAAAATGAAGTATGAATCCTGAACTAGGAGGTGTAGAATGGAACTTTAGCCTGCCCTCTCCCACCCAGGTTTACTTATGTATAGCTCTGTCACCACCTTAGGAACCAGGTTTGCAGACAGGAACTTTACAATCATCTTAGACTATTAAGAATCCCATTATTCATTTCTGTTTTCCTTAAAACACAGGTGCACCTATTATTTTGTCTTTCCCACACTTCTACCAAGCAGATGACAAGTTTGTTTCTGCCATAGAAGGCATGCACCCAAATAAGGACTATCATGAGACGTTTGTGGACATCAATCCTGTAAGTACATGCCCCTGCCTGGTCACAGAGCATGTGTTTCCTTCCGTCTGTACAGTGTTCACTGGTTTAGACCTTAGCAGTCTCAGGAAATACACTATTTTCCTTTCATATATGATCAAGTGAAGGAAACTCCGTTCAATGCAATGTGATGCATACTCTCATAGCCCTGTAATTAGAAGGCTGAATTCTGTGGGTCTGATATGCAGAAACACCAGCACACCTGCTTTAACAAAAAAGCAACAGTGAAAGTCCCATCACTGGAAACAACTAAGATTGGACCCAGGTAACCTGGTCGATCTGTTGTCACCAGCTTTAGACCTGAACATACATACATTGCTCCCATTGGGGCACAGGTCAGCAAGTGGAAGACATTCCCCTGCCTATTGCCAAAAATGTTTTGGTTGAAATTTAAATATATAGATTAGCTTCAGTCACTTTTGGCAAACCCCTTCCTACAATTACTTTTGAGAGTTTATTTTACATTATTCATTTAAAAAGGCATCAAATATACATACACTTGAATCCTATATTCCTAGAGGAGAAAAACGAAAACCATATTAAAAGGATGTGAGTATTATTTCACAATGTGACAGCGTCTCACTGTAGGAACTGAATTAAAGGTCAGATATCTTTATTTTTGGGCCTTTGAAACCATGACATAAAAAAAGAACCGCAAAAACATTCTTTTAGCCCGGCAATTTATGGGGACTTCACTCTTAGCTATACTCATTGCATTTGTATCTGAGAAATCAGTGGTCTTATTTTTTGTGACTAAGATCAGGTGCAATTTTTTTCCTTTTCTCTCTTAGCCATCAGTAAGTTCTTTTTCATCAGTCAGACTATTAGCAGGTGCTTGTTACCAAGGATTAGGCCACAGTCCCATAACCTTCATGCAGAGCTGGAGCTGCCATGGGGAAGATGATAGTAACTGCTTTTCCTGCTGGGTGGGCCCTGACCATACTTGGGTACCATTCTCTAGCAGTGACCGCTGTCCTTCTGACAGGGTATCTGTTGGGTCTCCCATCTCCTGTGGTCATCTAAAGCTTTGCTATTCAAAGTGGCAACATCCTGGGAGCTTGTTAGAAATGTCCGATCTCAGACCCCACCCCAGACCTACTGAATTAGAATTTGCATTTGAACAAGACCTCTCATACACATTAAAGTTTGAGAAATATTGATCTACCGGGCTCCTAAAATAACCCACAGTTCCCATTCTGTTCTGGGGTCAACTTTCCCTTGTTCCACCCACTGTGCATATCAAACATGGTAGTGGTCACTCTGTTTATCAGAACCACACAGAAATGGTGCTCTATTGAAAAACATAAACGTGTGTTTGTGGTTTTAATCATGTTTTCTTTCCACTTCCCTGATTTGCAGTTGACTGGTGTTATCCTAAGAGCAGCCAAGAGGTTCCAAATCAACGTCTATGTGGAAAAACTAGATGACTTCATGTAAGTGTTGCTTCTTTCTCCGGAGACAAAGGGTAGTTTTGCTACATCACCTTTCAGGGATGAGGCATGGCCAGCATTTTCTTAGGCTGCCTTGGTCTTGGAATTTACTTATTTTATTTAACCAACTATAGAGAGAGTGCTTTCCATGGATCGGGCATTTTTCTAAGTACTTGACACATTTATGCCTCACAATAACCCTGTATTATTCTCATTTTACCAATGAGGGAAATGAGGCACAGAGAGGTTAAATAACTCCTCCCACAGCTAGGAAGGCTACAGTCTGCTCTTACCCTCTCCAGTTAGCTTTTCCCTCACCTTGAGTCTGGTGGCCTCCCTTCTTTTCCTTCTCACTGCCCAGCCAGGGTCAGCCTCAAGCTCCACTAGGACAGTTAAAATGGTCCCTTGAGTCCAGCCTTTCCTCCCATGCTCCATCTAAAAACCACTACTTCATTAGGATTCCTAAATACAGTCACGTGCTCAAACTTTTCAGTGGGAATTGTTGGGAGATGAGACAATGCTCATGACTTAATGTTGAATGAAAAACAGGATGTAAAACTATACATCATATATAACTATTCTTTGTATGTATGTATGTATGTATGTATGTATGCATGCATTCATCTATAAAACTTGGTTGATTCCCCCATCAAACTTGCCAGATTGAACCCCACGTGTCATGGATCTTTCTAGGAAGCAAATGTGTTTTGCAAGAATGAATTTTGTCACTTGTGTGGCAGTGTAATTTAGTAGTTAAGATCTAGAGCTGTGGAATCAAAATGGAATTACTGTCTTGGCTCCATCATTTACTCATGCTGGTCTTGGGCATATTACTCTGAGTCATAAATTCCTTGTCTTAAACCTGGGACAGTAATACCTACTGCATGCGATTATTGTGAGAATTAAATAAGATAACGTCCCCAAAACACCAGGGCAGAGCTGATGCATGGTAAATGCTAGTAAGAGATTGCTCTAGGCTCTTGTGAAGAGAATACCAAGCAGCCAGGTTACAAATCCTTCTGAGGATTGGCAGCATTGTTCTGCCCTCCATAACCCCCATTCTGATAACTGTTGGGAGAAAAGTAATCACTTGGGTGAATTTGTTTCCAGCATCTTGTGTGTTTATAAAAACAGTTTACATAAACATGCAACACTTGGAATTTCTAGACTGACAGATTGAATATGTTTGCAAAGATAACTAAGAAATCCGCATAGATTTCAAGTAATTTAACGAAATAAGTGTGTTGGGATTTTCATATAAACGTGTCTCTCCAGACCAGTGTGCCATCGCAATGAAGATATCTATAAAACGATCTCATCTTTTGTCTTTGTAGCGAAACGGGAAACATTAGAACCATGGTTTTCCCGGTGATGCATGTCAATGAGGTGAGTCCTGGGAGGGAGCCACCAGTATGTTTTACCTGTGCAAGCTTGGGAATCTTCCATTATGATGTCTGCTGTGTGTCATTTAAGATGTGAGACAGGGGGAAGGGTGATTTTTAGAAACCTGTTTGTCCTCAGAAATTTATTTGTTTGCATAAAGCCACCTATGTCTGAGATTTGGAAATGACAGAAAGAGAATGTCCTTTCTCAAGTACATGTTGGGGTGAAACTTCCTTCTGGGAAGCCAGTTATGTAAGAAACAAAATGCAAAGGTCAGTGAGACAATGTTTCGGGCATTGTCAGAGAGATGTCTAATTAAACCTTTCTTTGTGTCTCCTCTTTGAAACCCTGCCAGTTTGTAAAATGCCATCATTTTACCATTCCTTAGTTGAGGAGGAGGAAAAGAGAGTAAAATTAAAATGACTGGCAACATTAATAAAAAGTTGTGTGAGGTGGTTAAAGAAATGGTTAAATAAAATGTGATACATGTCCATTGATTTCGGTGATACATAGTTGCTTCAGCCTTCATCATAGCATAGAGTTTTTTTTCTACTTTCTGGTAAACACACCTATGAGCATATATCATGAATTACAGGAAACAGATCCTGTCTTACTTCAAACAAAAGGAGTTTCCCTGAAGAAATATTTCTGTCACAGTGTGCCCACAGAAATTTTATCTCTAAATGTTAGGTGCAAATTTCAATTTCGTAAATAAAAGTAGATTCTGAAAGTTCAGAAAATATTCACTATTTAAAGCACCTGTGATGTTTTTTTATGAATCACATGTCATATTTACTGTAGTTTTGTCTCTTCCACCCAGTCTTGAGGGGAAAATTGCAGGGTTTTTCTCCCTGAGTAAATTCTCAATTGGCTGGCTTTTGTTGTTAACAGCAGCATTTGTTAAAGTTTATATTATTTGTCTCTTTTTCCTAAAAGTACTTGTTCTTTGTAGAAAATTTAGTAACAGAGATTAGCAAGAAGAAGGAACATTAAAATTACTTTTCACAAAACCAGACTGATATGTTTTTAACTTGCTTTATTTTCCTCAACAATGTGTTGTAAAAAATTTTCTAATAAAAAAAAATTTAATGGTTTACAGTTTGTAAAACTAACATATGCTTTTTATAGAACCCATAGGAAATTAAAAAATATATTTAAAAAGTGAACCACTGATGAGTTTATCACTTAGAGAGAAATGCAGTTGACATCTGCTTATGTTGCCTCAGTATTTTTCTGGTTTTAGTATTACATAGTTGAGACCATACTGTAGATAGTTTTATATCCTTCTTTTTTTTAAATTTAGTAATATATTGGTGGCCACATTTATAAACTTTTGAAGAGTTTGTGATTACATTGCTAAGACAAGGCTCTTATTGTTTCATAGGTAAAATCCAGGCAATGTTTGTCAATTTATAGGACCTATATTGCATTTACTCCTGGGTCATCATTATTATTTGTGGGGAAGGGTATGAAAACAGAGCTTTTTGAAAACGAGGAATGGCCCTGCCCTGTGAGCTTATGTTTATAGTTGCAGCATACTTGAAGTCCCTTCCACTCGAACTTTTGCTTTGATTTTTTTTTGTTAACGACCCAGTTGAGCCCAGAGAGCCCTGGATGTCACCTTGGAGGCTGCTCTCCCACTCCTTTCTTCCAGACAAGGAGACTTTGACCTTGATGGGCCTTGGCCAGTTATTGGAAAAAACAACCCTTGATCCCCATCCCCTGCCTCAACCCAATGCAAACTGAGCCTGAATTAAGTGCAAAGTTCCATTTGTTGCTAATAATTTTTGTAATTAAGCTTTTCACATACCTCATCCATGACAGGTTAAGGCACTAATACCTTTGCCCTTCATACAGAAAGTGTTATTCTAGAACATTTCCTTTGTTATAACTCCCTCTGGAACTCTGGTTAGCCTCAAGTCTTCCCTTGAACACTTTCTGTGGAGACCTCTGATGCGTATAGATATAATCAAGAGAGAAATTATACTTTCTACATACCATTGTTACAATGTTTCATGTATTTAATCTACTGATGTTAATTGAGCATCCACTGTGTGCAGGGTGCTATACCCAGTGTTGAGGTGACTGAAATAAAATGTTTGCCTCTGAGAACCTCACAGTCACAAGGAGACCAACATGTAAATCGACAGTTACAATGCAGAGTGAGAAGACAGTGATGAAGGATTTTAGAGAATGAGCTGGGGCCTTGAACCAGGCTTGAGGAGATCAGAGAAAACCGGTAGGAAGTTAGGCTGAGCTTTGAAGAATGAATTGGAGTTGTCTGATATAACAAAAGATGATATCATCTTAGTATTTCTGAATACTTTTTCCATCCTCCTTCCAACATATTTTGAGAGTAAAACTTATTTTCAGGAGCAAAGGGAAGATGTTAATGAATAAATGCACCCTCTAGTGATGCTAATTTATAAATGGATATTCAGTATCTCTGGTTTGCTAAAAGAAGGACATACCCAAGTTGGGTTTAATGATTTCGAAGGAAGATACAGCAAAAAAAAAACCTTTCCACACCGGATATTTAGTAACCAAAGCAATACTATTTTCTTGCCCCTCCTAGAGTGTTCTCATTGATAAAGAGACTGCAAGTCGACTGAAGTCCGTGGTTAACACTACTATGATCGTCACCAACATACCCTACATTGTCATGGCGCTGGGTGTCTTCTTGGGATTGATCTTCACCTGGTTTGCATGCCGAGGACAGAGATCCGTGGATGAGGTGAGCAGTGACTGGAGGAATTTCTTTCTTTGTGGGTAACTTTACCTGAGGAGCTGTCAGCTGGCTCACTAAGGCGGGTTCTGAGGTTTTATGCTGGGCACAGTGATTTCATGGTTATATGACTGCTGGACCAAATGAGAAGTAAGGGAAGTTTGTCAAAAAAGGAAGAGTGTTGGTTAAGAGCTCGCTCAAGAGTTTGAGCTCTGAGCAACAGTGGTTCGAGTCAGCCCGAGCTGAGCAGCCGTGAGCTGCCAACAGGTGGCGGGATGGCTCAGCTAAAAAAAAAAAAAAAAGGAAGAGTGATAGAACGGTACTGTCCAATGTCTGGGGCTCTCTTGATGAGAAAACATCCCTGGGAGTAACCTTTATATCTTTGAAAATAATCTGAAAGAAGATAACAGCCAAGCACCTGGGCTTTGGTGTCAGACTGGCTAGGTCAAATCCCAGTTCTGCCACTTAATAGCTGTATGACCCTAGAAACTGTCCCTTAGTTTCTTCATCTATAAAATGGGATGATACTAGACCCTTTCCCCCGACCCCTAGGAGTTTTTCGTGAAGATTAGATGATATAGTAAACATAAAGCACTTGGCCCAGTGTTAGCATTTAGTAAGAACTCAATAAACATTAGTTATATGATAAAACAGCCATAAGATTATAGAGCAAGGCAACCAGAAACCTGCTTGGAAAGAGTCCCTGATATGTTATTGGAGGATACCTACTACTGAGTGATCATTGCATAATAAATGATTAACACAGGGTTGTAGTTACTTTCCTAGAGGGATGGGAACAACCCCAAAGAGATGGGATAAACAGAGTTAGCTGGACCTCCCTAAGTGACCAGCAGGCCAACCCAGGGGTCTTAACTACCTTCAATGAGCCTTTTCTATAGGAGCCTTTCTGAAATTTTCAGCAGCTTTCCTTTTTGCAACAAAGGTTTTTGTGTTTTTGGTTTGCTTTGGTTTTTTTTGCCCCTAGCTGTCTCAACTAAGTATCTTAGACACATATGAAATATGAAATGAAATAGGTTAAAACCATCTGACTCATATTAGCCCAAATTTCCCTGTCTTCCACATTGTTCCAGTATGTCTCTTAACCCATGCCCATCACATTAGCGTGAATTTGATGTAAGGCAACGGTTTTGCCATTTCTACCTGTGGATCTTACCTCCAGTCTGACCTTGGACACCCACTGAGATTTTCATAAGCACAGATGAAAGCCCTTGTAAATGTTATCACTACTCCTACAATTAACCATCTTCACATTTTCAGCAAGCAAGCAATTACTAAGCACCCACCACCACCTCCAAGACATTGTTCTCTGGTAGGTGTCAAACCAGGAAGAAGGCAAATTCAATCGAGTGTGATGAGGGTTATAGTCTGGGTCTGTACAGGGAAGGGGACTGCTCCAGCATCTGGGCTGGGATGGTCAGAGCAGGCCTCCTTGAGAGGGTGAGGGCTGAATGTTAAAGGAAGAGCAAGAAGCAGCAGGCCAAGGGAAGAGAGGTGCGTGGGACTTCCTATCAGCTTTTCTTCCCCCTTCCTCCACCTTCCCATCCCTCCACCGTTCCATGGGCAGCAGTTTCTGACATGAACACCTAACTTCACTGTCCTCTTTCTTCTGAGTCACAGGGAACTGCAGATGAAAGAGCACCTCTCATACGAACCTAACCGTGGCCTGAGCTTGGTGAAGGAGCCGTGTTGTGTTATCTTGACCTGGACCACAATGTGGGGAGGCTGTCCATGTCCTCACAGCCTTGTCCGTTATGACAGGAGGGAGATGGACCCAGAGCCGGCAAGTGATGAGAACGTTGTGGCTGGAGGTTATAAAGAACAGGCTGATATGTTGGCCATCAGGCTTTATAAAAATCCTGGGATCCCTGACAAATTGTTTCGTTTTTCATGTGTCTAGCAAGTATTTAATAAACTATTGTACAGTAATGTGTGTTGTTGTTGGGTGCTGGTAGCCCCAGAATTTTGTGACCACTGTTGTGGTTATAATGTCTCTGCATCACTTGTTAATGCTACTTGGTCAGACCTTTTTTGATATGCTTCATTCACCAAACTTTGTACTCAAAATACAAATATTTTGTTGTAGTCCTCCATTCGTTTCACCCAAACCCAGGAGGAAATAAGAGTTCGGAACCCAGGGTAAAATGGTAGCATCATTTAGTACACCATTCAAATGCATCTAATTTCCCCTTTTAAAGTTATATATTGCATTTCATGCTAATCGTCAGTTCATAATTCCTCCAGGAAGATAAGTCAGTCTTCCGACCACTTTCATACTGGATGGGAATCAAGTAAGGAAAGGTTTGGGGTTGGGGGAGAGGGGAGGTACCTATGAGTTAATAGCGATAAGCACCTGAGGAATTTTTACTTGTACTTTTGTGAGTCAAAAGAATGCATAGATAGTGTGGGTGAGGACAAGTATATTTCATATAAAGTAGAACTAAATGCTAGTTCTGAGATTTGTGGGTAGTTATTTTTTTAGTCGAAAAGATCTTGACGTGGAAAGGTGCTCCTGGGAGAATGTAATCAGTAACATTTTTCTCTGCAATCACCCTTGTCAAATATGATACTATATTAATGACAATACTATTGCGATTATTTGTAAATTATTAATGAATATAGGAAATCCATCCACAACCTAAGTTGCACATATATTTCTGGAAGTCTGACTACACTGAAGAGACATTTTTTTCTGGGGCCGTCATTTTTGGTAACTTTGAAATTGTTTTTATAAATTGTTCTTTCCTCAAATTCAGTTCCTTTAAATGTTTTGTGGCTCATTGTCACTTACTGAATAGAGAAAAATGTGTCCTATACTTCCTGTGACTATATTATCTTGCTGACAGAATGACCGTGTTTTAAAATATTGCACAGAATGTGCTTTTAAGAAAGGTCCACTGGGACAAAAGTGGGGCCATCTCTCTTCAGAAGACCTCTTGGCTTTCAGCGTAACTTAAGTCAGAGGACTGGGAACCATCATATGTCATAGAATTCAAGCATCTTTAAGGGCATTTTTCTTTTTTAATTCTCAAAATTCAATACTCATTTTTGATTGAGAAACCTATACAGTTATCTGGCAAAGTGCACATAGAATTTCTTAACAACTGAATCATTTTACAGGACTTTTTGTTTAAAACGGGATTTTAATGTAAACTAATGAAGAGAAAAAGCCATGGATTTCACAAATATCCCTGTGTGGGGTAATAAACCGCTTTAGTTTACTTGCCCCAATTTTCCTTCTGTCTACACTAAAGCAATATGTGGTATGCTTTTCTTCTTGAAGGGACAATTTATTAAACTCTCAACATCTCTATAAATTAAGACAGAACCTGTAGATACCCCAAATCACCAAAATGTGAAAAACTAAATTGAAAATATTTGTCTTCAATAACGTCAAATATCTAGGTTTTTTGAATTGATCAATATTTAGGTAATTGGCATATCTTATTATTTTACTTATCCACTTTTACACACTGATAAAACTGATAAGCCAGAGCATCCTCATTGGTTCATCCTATTATCAGGATATAATCATCTGTGAGGAGGTAATTTTTAAATGAGTGATAACAGGTAATGATGTACACTTTTAGACTGAAGCCCACGCAGGCAGGGAGACCAAAAGCATATTATTAGCATATGATTCTTAATAGTTACTTGGCTTAAAATCACATTTAATATTTTCCTTCTGAGAAGTCTGTGGCAAACCCATAAACTGCAGTCGAGATTATAGATTCGTTAAGAAGAATAGTTTTAGGTTGAAAATAGCAAACTATTTCTCATGCTCACTCTCTGGAAGCCATTACCCTGGAAATGCACCCAAAGTCTGTATGGTTGTCACAGTCACACAACTCCGATGTCCGGTATGTGATACTTAACTTAGGGGAAAACCAAACAGAGCGAGGTTACTTCACTTCTCTCAGGGGGTTGAAAATTGAGAGTTGAACACAGGACAGGAAGTGGGCTTTGCCACTTTTAGCTCCAGGCTTTCTTCCACTAGGCTTTATTTCCTCACTAATGATCAAATGGAGCAAGTACTATACAGCTCACCCCTATCGGGGTTTTTGCTTTTGAGAGGCTAATTTTTATTTAAATTGCTGGAGATATGAGTTCTGCAAAAGGTGACCTTTACACTTGGCCCTCTGAGCATTATTACTGTAGTTAATTGCTTGTGGCTATTAAAGAAAACACTGACCAAAATGCTCTTCATGTAGCTTGTACAGTTGGTTCATTTCATGTGATCCTTGACATGTTTATTTCTATCCTTAATGCAATGAAGTATTTCACTAATAAAAATACCTGTTTATATGAAATTGCACTGGAAATTGTATGTGATGTCATTGGATGCCCAGTTGTCATGGAGTTTCATTTGAAAGATGCTCTGTACCCTATTGTCTGACGCTGGCCTCAGTCACATCCCTTAGGCAACCTCTGATTTCAGCTCAATTATAGGCAGCTGGACAAGTCCCACTTCAGGCAGGTCACAGGCTGTGCTTTTCTGCCTCAGGGCTTTCTCCAGAGCCCTGGAAGCCACTCAGGAGCACAAGGGAGTTAATACCCCCAGGTCAGGAATCAGCTGATAAAATGTTTCAGTCTTTAGATGGACAGTTCTTAGACTTATTCTACAAGGTTCTTCAACTAGTATTGCCCACGGTGAAAATTGCTTCCTATTATCATTTCTTCATTTCCTGTCTCACTCTCCTCACACCCTCACTGCTGCTTCCTCCCAGTCTACCTGCACTAACATCCTTATTCAGATCTGTTTCCAGGTAAACCCAAACAGAAATAGAGACAAGTCCATCCAGAAGGGCTCGGCAATATCAGAGAGCTATTGATTGGACAGGTACTGAACTTTTGTTTCTGACGATATTTGAGCTAAAGCTATTAGTCCAAAAATTTAGATTTTAGATTAGCTTTAAAACCTCTCCCATCCCAACAGCATTGCATTTTTTTTCTGACATCAGAGCAAATCCATATCAGTCATAAAATATCTTAGCCCAGTGTTACAAATGTCCTTATGTGTTAGGGACACTTGATCCCTAGCATATGTCTCCCTAGGCACCCCAGATCTGATTTTAGCTGGCTTATGTCATACGGGAAGTTCTTTGTATTTATTTCTGCTTACTCAAAGGTATATAGAGACACCTAGAACTTTGTAACATACCAAGCCTAATTATTTCAAATCAAGGATTAAGAAAAATCCAGGAAATATATTTAAAAGAATACTAATACGGGGTGGCATGTACTGCCAGGTATTAAAACATACCCATAAACAAAAATCAAGAAAGTATGGTATAGGGTAAGTGATATAAAATACAAAGTCCAGAAACATGGATACATATTTAACACAAGATGTAGGTCTCATTTCTAATAATTACTGTAGTCCTTCATTTATTCAACTAATGTATTTTTTTATTTTTAAAGCTTTATTGAGCTATAATTTACATACCATAAAATGTACCCATTTTAAATGTAGAATACACTGATTTTTAGTAAATTTACTGAGTTGTGTAATTTTAGAACATTATCACTTCAAGAAGATCAAGCCAGTTGGCAGTCACCACCCCAGCTCCAGGCAACCACTAACCTATGTTCTGTCTCTACAGATTTGCTTGTTCTGGATATTTCATATATGAGTAAATATAATCATACAATATGTGGTCTGTGGGGCCTGTTTCCTTTCTACATTATACTTAAAAATAATGTGTTCAACCAATTTCATTGAGTAGCCAGCCTCTTTATCCCAGGCATTATAAACTAGGCTACTAGTGACCAAAAAGAGACATATGGATCTTATGTCTCATGGGGGAACAGACAGTAACCAAATCATCATAGACGTAAAATTTCAACTAAGTTTCAAAATGCTCTGAGAACAGCACTGAAGTTACATTTGACTAAGACTGAAGAATAGGTGTTAACTAGGCAAAGCAAAGCATTTCAGAAGGAAGGGACGTGCCCAGGAGCAGGAAAAAAGTTTACAAGGGCCTGGGGAAATGTTTGGCTGGAGTTCATAGAGGAAAGAAGTGTGGCAGATAATGCTGGAGAGAAAGGCAAGGGTCTGAATTGGGAATTACTAACCCATGTTAAAGATTTTGTCTCATTTTCAGACCAACGGGAAGCCATTAAAGTGTTGTAAACTGGGATGTGTGGAGGAGAGTGGGGAATAGGAGACAAGAAAGGTTTGTTTAGAAAGACCCACTCTAGCTGCAGGGTGAATAAATTGCAAGAGAATCAATGTGGATTCAGCTCCCTGTGGACTTAAGGTGTGTCTTTTGGGGGTCCTCATTGGCATGTAAGATGGAGCCAGTCTGACTGTCAGCCAGCCTCCACTGTGAATTCCACAAAGCCACACTGCATGGGTTAAGTAATGGGCTTTATTTTGGAAAATAAAAATATATAGGGCAAGGACAGCTAGAAAAAACAAGGCACAGATCCATCATCCTCCTGTCATCCCATGGAGAGGCAAGCTGAGGGCCAGAGCACTGTTTGGTCTCAGTAAGAACATATATCCATCTGCTAGTCGCCCTTTTTATAGGGCAAGGGTGAAGAGGCAGTCTTGTCCATGGAGGAATACACAAGCTGCTGAGCAATAGGCAGTTTCAATTTGGGGTGCCACTGGTTTATAGAAGTCTGGGAATGCCAGCTGTCCATGGTATGTTACGATCTCCACTGCTGGAGTGAAGAAGACACCAGCTCCTTGGGACTGAGCTTGGGTGCAGCACCCTATCTAGGAGAAAGGGGAAACCCCAGGCACAGAAAGCTCATTCTCCAGGCAAGCCAGGATGCACCTCCAGGTCACAGTCCTGCTCATTGCATCCAGGTAGGGGTTGGCCAACTTTTCTGTAAGGGGCCACATAGAAAATAGTTTTGGCTTTGTGAGCCCTTTTGTCACAGTGACTCAGCTCCGTTCTTTTAGCACGAAAGCAGTCATAGACAACAGGTAAACAAAGCGATGTGTCTGTGTTCCAATAAAACTGTATTAACAGACATGGGCTGCAGCCCCTATTTGGCTCATGGGCCATCATTTGCTGATCCCTGGTCTAGGCAAGAGATTATGATCATTTGAATCAGGGAGATGGTAGTGGAAATGAAGTATTTTAGAAATGTTTAAAAGATAAAATATGTAGGATTTGGAGATGGATATGGGAGAGGCAAGGAAGAGGGACCTGTCAAGGAACTCATTCATTCATTCCACAACATTGAATAAGGGCCAATCATGGGGGCAGGCACTCTGCCAGCACTAGGGATACAGTAAATGAAACAAAGTTCCCCGCCCTCCCACGAGCTTACATTAAATTGCAGGGAAGGGCAGGGTTAAATAAATAAATAGGTGGTGGTAAGTGTTAAGAATCCTAAAGTAGCCAGAGTGACAGGAGTGGAATGTGCTATTTTAGAAAGGGTGGCCAGGGAAGGCTTCCTACCAAAAAGATATTCACTCTTTTTTTTTTTTTTAATTTCCAATCAGTCTCCTCTTCTACCCATATTTTCTGTGATTCTGCTCTGTTGGGTCTTCTCCTACCTCTCTGGCTACTTTTTAAATACTGGTGCTCAACTGCAACCTCTTCTCACTTGAACCTCCCTCTCTGACAATCCTATTGACTTTCTGACTTCAATTACAACCTAAACATGGGCCTCCGTTCAACCTCTTCCTCACATACCCAAATGGCCTGCTGTATATCCTCAAATACAACAAGTAAAGGAAGGAACTCGTTTTTTCTTGTCTTCTCTCCAAATTCCCATAACTGGGGAATGGCATCACAATCTACTCAACTGTACAAGCCAGAAAACAGGGCCTCTTGCTAGGCTCCTCCTTTCCCTGGCCTCCACATCCCATCAGTCATCAGAGACTTGACATCAGTCAGTCTCTGCTCCTGCTGTCCTCACCCACATATCAGAGCCCTCACTGGGACTCTTGCAATCACCACTATAAGCATTATTTTTTTGAATCGGTAATT